AGTATTTTAAAAAATACTTATTTTCCTCTCATCTTACTTTACTTTTCATCTTCTTTTACTCTCAGCTTTAGTTCTCTAACACTTACTTTGATGACCTGTGAGTAGTTTGGAGTAGAGTTTTGTTCATGCTCCCCTCCCATCTTTTTTACATTTTGTTTTGTTTTAATTTGACCTTCTCAGAGAGGCTTCTGGACAGCTATACAAGTTTTGACCTTCTTAATCACTGAAATTGTTCATTATTGTATAGTCATAATTTTTATTTTACAAGATTCTTCTGCATCTTTTGTGCCATTTTAGAGATATAGTATATGGAGATGGCTCTGTGTTTTCTGTGAATGTTCTGAAAGCTCTTTTTCTAAAGACTAGAGTTTGTTTGACTGTCTTCCCAGTATGATAGTCTCCCAAGGTTCTTGTCTTAGCTATATTGCTAATCAGCTTGATTTTATTGGTTAGAATTACTCTATTTTTCCTTTACCTTCTGAGAGATTAAATTATCGGCAAAGCAATTGACCAATTTATTTCTTACTCTACTTTTAACAGAATGAGAGTTCTAGCAGTTGTTACAATTGTTGAAATGCCCCATCATCACTGTATTTTGCCTGTCCATTACTTTGGTGAGCTTTATTAGAAAAATACTTTATATATCCTCCATCCAGTGCTCCGTAATATATATCCCTATAACAATATCACTCTGTTTCTCATTTTTAAATCCTATTCCAAATTCTCTCCGCCTTTCTTAAATTCATAGATTTCCGTTTAATTGTATGTCTTCTTTAACAATATCTTAAATTTGACAATTTGTTTCCAAAAGACTCTCACAAAGTTAATCTTACACTCCCACTTTAAGGTAGGAAGAATAGGATTAGTATCTGCTGTCATTATACAGATGAGAAAACTGAGGTTCAGAAAAGTGATGTGACCTCTTTAAGGTGAATAAAATGAGTAATTGAGTCAGTTGTAGAGCCACAACTAGAACTCGGGTTTTCTCATTCCTCAGCCTTTCCACCACACCACAATCCTTCTTTGTCCTCACCTTGGTAATATTCCTTTCACCATTTGAATGGTTTCATTTGAGCAAAATATTTCCCATCACTGTAATAGTCCATCCCACCAATTTTTTGGTGCTCTACCCCTTTGACTTAATATATCAAGTTGATTTTGTTTGTTAACTACAATCTGTGCAGTCCTGACCAGTTTCCCTACTGTTTTTACTACGAATGTGAATATCATCTTCATTCTCTTGATTCTTTTTTATGTCACATATGTTTTATGTCACACATGTTGTCCTCTGTAGTATCTTATTCTTTCTAGTTTTAATTATTATATCCCATAAATATGTGACATACTGAAACATGGAATGTTTCCCAAGGTATCAAATAATGTGAGGTCATTCCATGAACATTATTGCTTAATAATTTGGCTTTGCTTGATAAATGAGATAAAAAATAATATTACACAATAGTCATAATGTGGAATGTAGCATATGAAACCAAGAGGATTATATACAAATTCAAAAGAAAAGAAAGATGATCTATGATAGAAATGATGAGATAAGAGTTGGCCTTTAACACCAATTGCAAATTTTCCTGAGCTTCTCTTTTATACGGCATTTTTAGATGTGGAATTGTAGGAACATAGCTTCAACATATAACACATCAATAATGAGTTCACACAATCACTAATCCAAACAATGTAAAGAATTTTTATGGCATAACTAGTCTCAATTCCCCCCACCCTTTGCTAATATTCCAGAATATATGCTAATACTCCAGAAGTGGATCAACAGACATTTCTTCCTAGTCTATCTTAGTCTGGAAGCTCCATTGCGACCTGTTCAGCATCATAGCAACATTCAAGCCTCCACTGACAGTCAAGTGGTTGGCTGAACTTGAGGAGCATTAGCCAGAATCTAACTCAGGTCTCCTGTGTGGAAGGCGAGAATTCTGCCATTGAACCACCAGTGCCCTTAGTCTCAATTCCTTTTAATTGTATTTATTTTTAAAAGAAGTAGTTTGTATTACCATGTACAATGAAATGGATCTTAATATTTTATATCTTTTTAAAAAGTTTTATGTAGGTAAGTTTACATATCATGAGGAAAAAATAATTTGCCAGTGTCTCTCAAATTTTGCTTCAGAATGTATTTAGTGGTTGATTTTGTTAATGTTTTCCATTATACAGAGGAGATTTTAAAATGTTCATGGTTTTCTTCACCAATATCTTTGATTAAGTCTTATGTTTAAAAGCTATTTTATTTTACACTATGTTTGCAATGTTTGCCTCCACAAAACCTTAGTTTATAAATACACCAGTTCTTTACTTTTGATACTTGTCACTTTGGTCTTTATACAAAATGATAGAAACTTAAAAATTAATCACTGTTTCTTGCTTCTGTAACTTGTCTGACCAATGATTTAGTCCTTGAAGATCCAAATATAACTCATATTAAGAGATTATACAGTTCCTCATAAAGTTAAGCATAAAATTACTATCTGACCCAGAAATGCCACTCCAAAGTATAAACCCAAGAGACTTGAATGCAGTAACTCAATAGATACTTCTTCAGTGTACATCAGTGTTCATTGCAGCATTATTCACAATAGTGAAAATGTGTAAACAATTCAAGTGTCCATCAATAGTTAAATGAACAAACAAAATGTGGTATATATACATGCTATGGAATATTATTCAGCCATAAAGAGAAAGGAAGTTCTGATACATGGTACGGCATGGATAAACCTTGAAAACATTATGCTGAGTAAAAAAATAAACAAAAACAAAAAAAAACCCGTTGCTGTCGAGTCAATTCCAACTCAGAGCGACCCTACAGGACAAAGTAGACCTGCCTGATAGGGTTCCCAGGGAGTGGCCGGTAGATTCGAACTGCCAACATATTGGTTAGCAGCTGAGCTCTTAACCACTACTATTCTATCATCCCATTTATATGAAATATCTAGAATAGTCAATTGCATAGAAACAAAAGTATATTAGGAACTACCAGAGACTGGGGGGAGGGGAGAAAAGTAAGTTGTTTCTAAAGGGATACTGAGTTTCTGTTTGGGGTGATGAAAAACATTTGGAAATGGATAATAGTGGTGAAAGCACAACATGATGAATATAATTAATGTCTCTGAACTGTACACCTAAAAATGGTTAAAATGGCAAGTTTTTTGTTATATATATTTCACTACAATAAATTTTTTAAAAAGAAATGATAGAAGTTGTTGTTGTTGTTAGGTGCCCTCGAGTTGCTTTCGATTCATAGCAAACCTATGTACAGCAAAACAGTACACTGCCCAGTCCTGCACCGTCCTCGCAATAGTTGTTATGCTTGAGCCCATCGTTGCAGCCACTGTGTCAATCCATCTCCTCGAGGGTCTTCCTCTCTTTCGCTGACCCTTTACTTTGCCAAGCATGATGTCCTTCTCCGGAGACTGGTCCCTCCTAATAACGTGTTCAAAGTATGTGAGACAAAGTCTTACCGTCCTTGCTTCTAAGGATCATTCTGGCTATACTTCTTCCAAGACAGATTTGTTTGTTCTTCTGGCAGTTCATGGTATATTCAATATTCTTTGCCAACACCACCATTCAAAGGCATCATACTTCTTACTCATTGTCTAGCTTTTGCATGCATATAAGGTGACTGAAAATACCATGGCTTGGGTCAAACACACCTTAGTCCTCAAAGTGACATCTTTGCTTTTTAACACTTTAAAAGAGGTCTTTTGCAGCGGATTTGCCCAATGCAGTATGTTGTTGGATTTCCTGACTGCTGCTTCCATGGGCGTTGATTGTGGATACAAGTAAAATGAAATCCTTGACAACTTCAGTCTTTTCGCCGTTTATCATAATGTTGCTTATTGGTCCAGTTGTGAGGATTTTTGTTTTCTTTATGGTGAGGTGTAATCCCCCAAAATGAAAAAATAAAGTAGTAAATGTAGCATTTTCCTTGGCAATCAAATGTGATGTGAATCACTATTTTATTATAACATAAGATCCTCATGTTCTTGGATATATTACATTTAGTTTAGACTTGGTGAAGCCCAAAGATGCTAGTGATACCTTACATGTACACAGCACATCATTGTTAACAAAATACATTTATAAGTATTTGAACTTTATAACCTCTCTGTAAGGTTACTCACAATTATATATACAATGTTGACATAACCTTACTAGAAGGAATTTTATTTTATTTTATAGCACTGTGAAGAAGTCCTTAATGTTTCAATTTGCCAATTTAGACCATGAATTGCATGCACAGAGGTATGAAGATGACTCTGTATGTAGATATGTAGACAGATGGAACTTGTTTGAGGTCTAATAGGTACACAAACCAATGACTGGGCCTGCATATAGAGAAATTGTAAGGACTCGAGGAAGTGTGTGTGTAAGGATCTGAGAAAACCTAGGAAGCATGATAAGAGAATAGGCACAATAAGACAGTAAGAATATACTCATGGATGTGCAATAATTTCTTTGAAATAGTCTTATCATTTTCTATATCACTGAAAATTACAGTCATGTTTTCTTATCAGATCACATACGTTTTGCTTAATAGCTACATGTGTTTTCTCTCTCCTTTATTTCCTATTGCATTTCAATGCTAGATAATAGTGTCTTTTTGAGAGCAGTAATAATTTAAGTTAGATACATTCTAAAGTAGATCTGTGCATAATTCAGAGCAAGTCATAGAATTTCTTGATTTTAGTTTTCTCAGTATGTAAATTGTGGAAAATGTTACTTAGCTCACAAAATTATGGGGATAACATGAGATAATGTAAGTGAAAGAATTTTACAAACTCTAAAGCTCTATTTAGTAAAAAAAAATATGAGGTAGAATATTCATCATTTTCTCCAACTGGGCACCTATAACAATACCTTAACACTTTGTCATCCATCTTCACACCTCTCCACTGCTAGAACAAGCAAGGGGTAGCATGCCTTTTTGTGGAAAAAAATTACCAGAATTTAAGAAAATATTTTCTTTTTCCTTTTAGCTATAGACTTCGATATAAAGAAAATTTTAAAGAAACCCAGAACATATGTGATGTCCACATCTAAGGAAGAACCAAGATTATCAAAACCAGCATTGAAGGTTTGGAGAAGAGTAATTATTAAAAAAAAAAAAGTTCTTGCTTGTTTAATTTGCATGTAATTAGTTGATCCAGCTTCATATAGTCAGTGGCGGTTATTGCTTTCTTCACATATATTTAGAAAAAAAATTAATGATCAAAATATATTTATTTGGGGAGGGTTAATCTTTATATTAAAGTCTTATTTTATTCGGAAACTATCCTTACCCTAATGAAAAAAATTACAGCATTTACCTTTTCCTCACAACACTTCTTGCCACTGCTTCTTCTTGAGTCAACATACGAAGACTTCTTCTAAGTGTTTTTACATGACTGTGGTCTCCATCAGCATAAATAAGAGTTGCGGGGAAGACTTCAAAGGAATATCAGGAATGGTTGGCCTGTTCCACCTCTCAAGCCAGTCCTGAAATAACTGACCATATTTAGATACTGCTACATTTGAGTCTTGAATGTTTAGTTTCTCCACATTCCTGAAGGTGACTAGCAAGTAGAAATCCGATGGGCTTGCCACCTTATGTTGTTTTAGCCAAGATTTTACAAGGTTATTGGCTTGAAATTCTGGATTTGATCTGTTAACTTGTAAGAAAATTTGTGATGTTCCCCATTTCACTTTTTATTTGGGTTATTTGCGTCGTCTCCTGTTTTTCATTGGTCAGTTTGGCCAATGGTTTGTCACTTTTGTTGATCCTTTCTAAGAACCAACTTTTGGGTTTGTTGATTCTTTCTGTTGTTTTTCCGATCTCTATTTCATTTATTTCTGCTCTGATCTTTATTTTTCCTTTCTTCTGGTGGCTGTGGGCTTCTTTTGCTGTTCTCTTTCTATTTGTTCATGATGTGTAGCTAATGTTTTGATTTTGTCCCTTCTTTTTTGATGTGTGCCTCTATTGCTACAAATTGACCTCTGAGTACTGCCTTTGCTGTGTCCCAAAGGTTTTGGTATGATGTGTTTTCATTCTCATTTGATTCTAAGAATTTTTTTATTCCATCTTTCATTTCTTCTATTACTCAGTGGTTTTTCAGCAGGGTGTTGCTCAGTTTCCATGTATTTGATTTTTTTTTCCTTGTTCTTCCTGTTGTTAATCTCTACTTTGATGGTGTTGTGATCAGAGAAGACACGTTGTATTATCTCAATGTTTTGGATTTTGTTGAGGGTTGCTTTGTGGTGTAAGACGTGGTCTATTCTGGAGAATGTTCTATGTGAGTTGGAAAAGAATGTGTACTTTGCTGGTGTTAGGTGGAGTGTTCTGTATGTGTCTAAGAGATCAAGTTGGTTGATTGTGGCCTTTAGATCTTCTGTATCTTTGTTTAGTGTTCTGCCCTTTACTGAGAGTGGTGTGTTGAAGTCTGCTACTATTGTTGTGGAACTGTCAGTTTCTCTTTTCAGTGCTGTTAGAGTTGTTTTATGTATTTTGGACCCTGTCTTTGGGTGTATAGATGTTTATTATGATTATGTCTTCATGATGGATCATCACTTTAATCATGATATAGTGCCTTTCTTTGTCTTTTATGGTGGATTTTGTTTTAAAGTCTATTTTATCTGAGATTAGTATTGCCACTCCTCCTCTTTTTTGGTTGCAGTTTTCTTGATAGATATTTTTACATCCTTTGATTTTTAATATATTTATGTCTTTGTTTCTAAAGTGTGTCTCTTGTAGACAGCATATTGATGTGTCCTGTTTTTTTATCCATCCTGTCACTGTCTGTCTCTTTATGAGTGCATTTAAGCCATTTAAGTTCAGTGTCATTATTGATAGGTGTGAGTTGATTGCTGTCATTTTGTAGTGCTTTTTTTTTTGTGGTGCTAACATTTTCTTTGTTCCTCTTACTCTCCTGTGCTGAATTGCTTTTGTTTGTGTATTTTTTTTGTTTGTTTCTTTCATTTTTGTAGATTTTGTGTGTACTGAGAGTTTATGTTTTTCTTCTTCATTTTGATCAGTAAGTTTGTTAACTTTCTTTGTGGTTACCTTGAAATTTACCCCTATCTTCCTAAGTTTGAACCAGTCTTTTATTACTTGATATTACCTTGTCTTCCTCTCCATTTGAAAGTTCTATACTTACACCATTTATTACCCCTTTTATTATTCTGACATTGTTGTCATTTACAGATTGATATCTCTGTTTTAAATATTTTGTTTTTGTTTTATCCTTGAGAGTTTATTACCTAGGTTGGTATCCAGCTGATGCTTTCTTGCATCCTAGATTCAGGCTGTTGTCTGATGTTGTTAGTTCTCTAACCAAAGGACTGCCTTTAATAATTCTTGTAAGTTTTGTTTGTGTTTTACATATTCCCTTAATTTCTGCTTATCTGGAAATGTCCTTATTTCACCATCATATTTGAGCGAGAGTTTTGTAGGATATATTATTCTTGGTTGGCAGTTTTTTTTCTTTCAAGGTTTTATATGTATCATCCTGTTGCCTTCTTGCCTGCATGGTTTCTTCCAAGTAATCAGAGCTTAGTCTTATTGTTTCCGCTTTGTATGTGACTTTTCATTTTTCTCAAGCTGCCCTCAGGATTCTTTCTTTGTCTTTGGTTTCAGTGAGTGTGATTATAAGTTTTGGTGATTATCTTTTGAAGTCTATCCTATATGGGGTTTGTTGAGCTTCTTGGATGGTCAGCTTTTCATCTTTCATATTAGTGAAGTTTTCTGTCAGCAAATCTTCAATGATCCTCTCTGTGTTTTTCATTTTCTCCCCCTGTTCTGGAACTCCAATCACATGCAAATTTTTGCTTTTGATTGTATCCCACATTGTTCTCAGGATTTCTTCATTTTTATTCATTCTTTTCTCTGATTTTTCTTCAAAGTGGTATCCAAGGATTTTGTCTTCAGTTTTGCTGATCCTGTCTTCCACTGTTTCAAATCTCCTCCTAAAACATTCTATGGCAATGTCCAGTTCTGAAATCTTGTTTATCTTTTGGATTTCTAATTGCTGTTTTTGTATGATTTCTAGTTGTTTGTTTGTTTTGACATTTTGTTCCTGTATTATATTCCTGAAATCTTCTATTGCTTTGTCTCCTTTTCCATGATTTTGTCTATATTTTCCATGATTTTGTCTACTTTTTCCTCGCATTTGTCTGCATTTTCCTTCATCTGTTGGAGACCCCTGAATATTAGAGTTTTGAATTCCCTCTCAGCTAGTTCCAGTGCCTTTTCTTCTACCAGAAGTCATCTGGTGTCTTATTTTGAACGCTTTCTGGAGCCATCCTGTCCTTTTTTTTAAATATGTTTTGATATTGTTTTCTGTCTTCAGGACATTCAGGAATTATTTTTTTTGTTTGTTGATTGTAGATTTGTTTGTTTCATCCTGCTTTTTTGTTTTATTGGGTTATATCTGGGCAGGCAGGTTGGGCATTCTTTATTGTTTGCTCATCGGTGGGCATGAAACTTCTCACCACCTTGTCCAGGTGGGCAGGACCAGTCACTCAGCTATGGTGGAGCAGAGTGGGTCCAGTAGGGGTGAAGGAGTAGGGATGGGTAGTTTGCAGCATGAACTGGGGCTGACAGTGTGGAGATGGGGGGAAGTTCAGGGAGGGGCCCAGGGGACCACATCAGTGCTGCTCAGGTGTGCAGCTGTGCAGCTAGGCAGGAAGGAAAGGAGAGGATGTGATATGCAGAGCTAATTGGGTGGGTGAAAGAAGAGAGAGAAACAAAAACCAAAAAAAAGTAAATAAAATGGCATTGTGGTAGTATTTGGTGGGTGGGAGCAAGGCAGATCCAGCAAGGCCTTGTGCTGGTGACTCTAGCTGAGCAGTATAGCTTAGTCTGTCTAGAAGGGGCATGGGTGCCACATAGTGCTAGGTAGGTGAGAGAAAGAAAGGGAAAGAGGGAGAAGAAACCAACAAACAAATAGACAAAATAAATAAATAATAAAAAAAATAAAACAACAACAAAAAATATGGTGGTGGGGGAGCTGGCCATTGGGGGTGGGGGGGAATTGGGGTGGTGAGGAGCTGATGTCTCTCTTGCCAGGTGGTATGGCATCCCCATCAGCAAGGGGCAGAGGCAGCACAAGGCCTAGGTGGGAGGGAGAAGGGGAGAGATAAAGAAAAATAAAAAATATGGCACTGAGGGAGCCAGCCTCTGAGGGCAACACACCTGGGGAGGCCGTTTGCCAGAGGCTCTCCAGCCGAGCAGTACAGCACAGCCCACCAAGAAGGCAGGCAGGGTGGTACACAAGGCTAGATGGGAAAAAGGAAAGGAAGGAAGGGAGAGAGAAGAAACAACAAAAAAAGAAAGAAAAAAACAAACCAAAAATAAATAACTAAATAAAATGGTTCTGAGGGAGATGGTCGTGATGGCGGCGCAGACCCAAGGAGGCCGCATGCAGTAACTGTCCAGATGAGCAGTGCAGCATGGCCCCTTGTGAATGGGCAGGGTGGTGCACAGGGTTTGGTGGGTGAGAGAAAGAAAAGGAGAGAGAAAGAAGAAACAAAAGAAGAAGAAGAAAAAAAAAAGAACAAAGCAAACAAACCAAAAAAATCACAGCCCATCAAGAAGGGTAGGAGATGGCACATGGAGCTAGCTGGGTGGGAGAAAGGAAAGCTAGGAAGGGAGAGAGAGAGAAGCAACAAAAAAAGCCCCTCCCCCCAAAAAAACAATATCAAACAACAAATAAATGAACAAGGAAAACAAACAAAAAAAATGTCACTGAAGGGGCAGGCTGGTGAGGGTGGGACAGACCCCAGTGGCAGTGAGCTATTTTCCCTTCAGCCAAGCTACTGTGGCCCATTGGAAAACAGCAGGGGCCACATAGAGGGAAGAAGGATGGTGTCTTAGTCATCTAGTGCTGCTATAACAGAAATACCCTCCATCTTATTAGGTCATAGTGATTGAATTTACAACACATAAGGAAATCACATCAGATTACAAAATGGTACACAATCATACAATACTGGGAATCATGACCCAGCCAAGTTGACAGATATTTGGGGGGGACACAATTCAATCAATGACAGATGGGGAGTGGGAAAGTGTGTATTCCTGGTTACCAGGTGCTCTGTCTCCTGCTGGCAGCTCTGTGGAGTTGCCTTCCTGTACTCCCTGTCTTCAGTCCTCATTGGCTGAGGTCGAAGATGGAGAATCTGGGTAGCAGTGAGCTGGTATCTCTCTGGCCAAGTGACCATGGCCCATTGGCAAGCAACAGAGGCCTCGTACAGGGAAGAAGGGTAGGGGGTGGGAAAGCATGTATCCCTGGTTGCCTTCCCTTACTTCCTGTCTGTGTTCTTTGGTAGCTGTAGGCCAAGATGGCGAATGTGTGCCATGTTAGCTGGTAGAGGACCTCCACACCATAGCTCTCCTCGTTCTCTGTTCCCTGCCAGTTTCTTATTCCATTCGGTGTTTGATGAAGTTCTTTATTCCTTCATTTGGTGCTTAGGGTTCCAGAATTGACGTCTGTATCTGTTTTACTTAGTTTTTTGGGTCTTTGCTGCAGAGGGATGGCACGGTGCTTCTGCTTATAGCGCCATGTTGGCTCTGCCTCTCAACTTGTAAGAAAATTTGGTTTTAAATCTCTTAGTCTTTATTGTTAAAATTTTGTCTGAATTATCTGATCAGGTCTGACCAATTATTTAAAATTATAAATTATGCCTATATAAAAACCATTCTCTGAAACAATCAGTATTCATATATTTCCTGGTCTTTAATAATCAAATAATATAGATTCTTTTCCTACCTTATTCTAACCTTCACAGTGTTGCTAAGGAATGGTTTGTGAGTACTTAATATAGAAACTGGTGATTTCTAAGATTCAATTTTGGGTCAATGACCATGTCACACCATTTGTTTTTTGGGTAGGCTTGATAGATTCAGTAATCAGGGAAATGAATAGAAATTTTATTTCTGGTCTTCAGCAAGCACTAAAAATGATCTCTTGTACCTTGTTTACAAGTTGAAGAATTGGACAGATGGATTCTTAACTGAGGATAGAAAGCGAACTGGAGACACATCTTTGGTAGTGTATCGTACTGCTGCATTGTTGGCCCTGCCCTGTACAATCTATTTTATCAATAACTTGGATAAAAATGCAGTTGCCATTTTTATTAGATATATAGAAGTCATAAAACTTGGAAGAGTCATGAATATATTGAATGACCAAAAATTCACAATAGGCTAGAATAATAGACCTAATTTCAAAAGATGAACATTCACTGGGGGAAAAGTATAAAGGTCCAAGATTACAACTATGTAAGTACAGAATAATAAAGCCTTGGCTTATAAGCAGCATGCCTGAAAAAGATCTGGAAATCATTTTTAATAGAAAGCTCAATACGTGTCAATAGTAGAATGTGGTTGACCCCAAAGTATATTCTGTGCTGCTCAGACAATAACTGGTGTATTATGTTCATTTCAGTCTGCACTGTAAAAGGGGTGTAGACAAACAGAAGTGTTCTGAGCAGAGAGTAATCGGAATGATGAAGGGCTCTGAAACCATACTAACCGAGCAATGGTCCAAAAATTTAAAGGTATTTTCATTGGAAAATAAAAGATTCTGGAAGCTGTAATAACATATAGAGAGGGATTATCCTTTTTCTATGTGGCTCAAACAAGTATAATTTTTACCAATAGCTAAAAACTATGGGGAGACAGATTTAAGCTCAGTATAAAGAATTTTCTGAACATCAGAGCTGTCCAAATGTTGAATGGGTGCCTGTGGAATCCCTGTCACTGAAAGTGTATGAGCATTGGATGGGCACACATTCAAACCTCAAAAACCAAAGTTTAGCTTTCTAGTGACTGTCAACCATTATCCCTTAATAAATTAGCAGAAAAATTGGGCACCAAAACATCCCTTGTTCATCCCTTGTGACCCTCCCAAAGTTTAGAGGTTTGTTTGGTTCTTATTTAGTGCTGAGATTACTTTTGACTGCAAAAGTGTTGTTTTATGGAATCTTAAAGTTCTCTGACATTCTTCTGCCATTATCTTTAAACCTAGTTCTGCTCTTGTCTGGCCAGACTACCCTTAAAAATCAGGGATCCTCCTAGAGTGAACTGTGGTTTCACTGATTTAATAGCTGATAACTGCATAAAAATAACAGAAATGTCTATTTCTAGAATTTCTGTAAGATAGAACTTCTATCTTACCAGGCCCAAGACAGAAGTAAGAAAATTGTCATAAACCATCTCTCTGGCAAAGTTTTCTTTTAATCCAGACTGAGCTTAGGCTGGTTTTGCATGCAATTTAAAGATCAGGCCAGATTTAGCATGATGAGAATTCCTATGGGATATTAATATGAGAAAAATGTTTGACATCATAGCAAACACATCTGATATTGACATTAAGATTTCATCATCAAAGAATTGCCTTTGATTATCATAGTCCCACCACTATTTGAAATAATTATGGAACCCTTAGGAATCCTAAAACTCATATTATTTATAAGAGCATATAGAATGAACAAGTGACCATTAGCAAAAGAAACCAGAGAACTTTCTGTTATCAATAAAAGCAAATGAGAAGAAAATCTTATTTCCCCACAGAAGTGAGAAGTAGAATTAATAATAAATCTCTTACCTAATTATTACAAAAATTGAGGAAAGAAAATATGAGTAGTTGCTCTTCTGGCCTCTTCTACCATAAAGAGTCAATAATAGAATTTTGGAGCAATTTTATTTATGGTTGTTTTCTGGACACAGAATTCTTTGCTGACAGGTGTTTTTTTCCATCAGTACTTTGAATATGTCACTCTACTACCTTCTGGCCTACATTGTTCTAATGAGAAGTCAGCTATTAATCTTATTAACATTCCTTTCTATGTTATGAGTTGTTTTTCTCTCACTGCTTTTAAGATTTCCTCTGTCTTTGGCTTTCAACACTTTGACTATGATATGTCAAGGTGTAGATCTCTTTGAATTTATCCTACTTGGAGTTCACTGATCTTCTTGGGTGTGTTTTCAGAAAATGTGAAAAGTTTTCAGTCATTATTTCTTCGTATATTTTTTCTGTCCCTCTCTCTGAGGCTCTGTTTATTTTTCTCCGTTATTATCCTCATCTTCTTCTTCTTCCTCTTCCTCTCCTTCATCTTCTTCCTGGATAATCTCTATTGACCTATCTTCAAGTTTGCTGATAAACTAAAAGATTATGAAAGCCTACTGCATGGACTCATTGACTCATATTTTAGTTAATTCCTTTAATTAAGAGGACACTTGGCAGAATTTCATTTTATTTCAATATATCAAATAGAATTTTATCTATAGTTATAGTGCAATTATGTTTAATTTACAGTTCTTTAAAAGTAACAATTGACCTGATTTTTTTCTTCCCCTTACAGTCCCATTATATTAGCACTGGTCCAGAGTTGAACCGTGTTCTCTTCAATTTTGGAGGTCAGAGTCCACTAATTTTATATTATCTTAAGATGCATGAGCTAGCTGGTATTGCAAATACCCCTAGACAAACAAAGATTAAACTCACTGAAATATGCCGAGAACCATATCCTTTTTCAAGCTTTAATGTTATCTGCTTCTAAAATATTAAAAACTTTTTACTAAATGTCTCAACTAAGAAAAAAAGTTGAATGCATTCTTTACCAACGCATTTATTTAGCACTTACTTATGTTCAAAAGATTTTTAGCATGTTTAGCTAAAGTAGTTTTCTCTTTTCGATCTAAGGCTATAATTTTCCATGTAATAAAAAATAAAAGAAACAAAAACCCAGGAACTTATAAAACTGGTATATTTGCTGTCTGGTAAATGACTACATTTACAACTTTACCATTCAGTGTTAAGTTTCAGATATTTGTCAAAACTGTGGGTCATAGGCTTCTAGGCTTCTCCAGAGAGAGTTTTCAAACATGTGGAAACCTTTGTTCAAACGAGAATTTATCAGAAAGCTCAATATGTAAAATAAATGGAATTGGTGCTTCTTTGTTGTAGTAGGGATGGGAGCCTGGAGTTCTGCCTACTTACACTGCATGCTCCCTCAGCATCCACCCATCCTGGCCCAGCTTCACTGGGGTCTTAGATGACCCCCAAAGAGATACATCTAGCACAGAGGTCCCAAATTGCAGTGTACATAGCCCTGGGTGGAGAAAAAAACAATTTGGACTTTTATTTATGTCTATTTCTATCTTTAAAAATAAAAACTAAGTTCAGCTTTACTAATATTTAGTAAACAGGCTTCCTCACTCCGTTGACATTTCAGTTTGTGCCTTACTGTGTTGCTCATGTCCTATTTTCTGAGTATCACAACATGTTGCTGTTTTCTTTGGCTAGTTAAGCAGAGTTATAGAATATATCTTCTAGTTTTAGATAAACTAATGTTCAGTAATGGACTAACAGCTTGAAAAGTCTCCTGAAAATAAACTGTGGATTGATGATAATATTAATAATGCAAGAATAAATGAAAAACAAGAATATATAGAATACTTCTTGAAGGAGCTCTTTTTCAGCCACACTAAGAGATGAAATAAATGATCATCCTATGCATTCTGACATATGTAGGCAAAAAAATCAAAATTTTCAAAGAGTACTTAAAATATGGATTTATGTCATTATTATAAATAGTAATATAACTAATGTTAGCTAATGATAATATGGTCCCTGGTGGCACAGTGATTAAGAGCTACGGTGTGCTATGGCTGCTAACCAAAAAGTCAGCAGTTCATATCCACCAGTTGCTCCTTGGAAACCCTATGGAACGGTTCTACTCTGTCCTATAGGGTCACTATGAGTTGGAATCAGCTGAACAGCAATGGGTTAATGATAGTATGATGCCATTTTAATCAGCAAGGTATATAAAAACAAACTATTCAGAACATCAATACAAATCCTTACATTTGAGGCCAAAGGTTTTGTGTGCCATTAATAAATGAAATGTTAAAATTTATTTTTATAATATTTTTATTTTGTTTCACTCTTTCTTGTTTCTAGATTTCAAACTTACTACAATAGGTATTATGCTGTGCATAATATATTAATACAGGTTGATGTGTATATAATTTATAAATTTGAAATTCTATATATATGGGGGTATACTCAAATATTGTCTACTAATGGATATATGTTCAAAAAGATGTGGATGCCACTGCTGTAGCAAATTCTCAAGACTCTTCCCAGGACATTCCTTCTCCCCCATTTCATTCAAGACAACCTGCAGAGCCTCACTGACCACAAGCACATGGAATTAACTTGGAAAGCTTGGGAACACAAAGAAAGAAGCAAACTACAGGGCTAAAGCAGTCTATTCTTGGATTCGTAATTTAAGTAATGATGCAAAGATTCTCATCAAACCTGGATATCCAAAACAAAGCAAACAAACAAAAAAATTTTCGAAGTGGACTTTGATTAGCTCTTAGTATCTAAAATCTTTTATAATAGATTACTTTTATTTTTAACTAAATTTTATTGTGATTTTTAAAATGTTGATCTTAGATTGTGTTTACCTTTTTAATGGGCATAGATTCATCCAAAGGCTGTGCAAGAATTTGTACCACTAGGTTATGAAGATGTTGGAAGAGTGTGAGTGTGTGTGAGTTCAAGGAAGAGAAAAAATGGAGGTCTAAGTCATGAAACCTTTTAGGAGAAGTTCTCATCCCACAAAAACTTGAAAGAAATCACACTCTGGAAAGTAATCGGGCTGCCTATGATGCTTTCTGAGCTGGTAAAATATAATGCCCACTGTAAGGAAAAGTGTTTCTAGACCTAACGATGAACTAAATAAAAATGATACTCCACAGTCACCAGCACTTTGTACTTTTTCAAAGCGTTTCCTCCTATGGATTATTGCAGTAAATAACAAGAGTCCTGTGACAGTGGACAGAGCAGCACCCACCACCACCACTTTACAGATGCGGAGACCAAAGCACAAAGAGGTTAAGTAGCTTGCCCAGATGACTCATGTAGCAGAGCTGGCAGCAGACTCTTCTAATTCCTGAGCCGTGGCTGCTTTCCTGATATATAGCAATCTGGGCCAGAATGTTCTCTGAGTGTGATACCAGTGGTTGATAGCAGAGCCCAATAATATTTTCTCCAAGATATTGATAACTGCTAATAAAATTTGCATCCAGATTTTCTATAAATATCTGTGATGATTCTATGATCATTTATTTCTGTCTCACTCAGGTTTTACTTTGAAGCTGTTTGGCATACAAACATTTTTAGTAGTTTTCTCTGGACTTACTGGAGTCCTTTAGCCTTCCTGAAGTGGAGAGACAACCCCTTGCAGTGAATACATCTACACAGTAAGGTAGTGGGAGAAAGCAGAGAGGAAGAGGAGGAGATAAACAATAACAAAAGACAAATTTAATTCTTCGTATTTGAGATAGGCGGGTTCTAAGGTAGATCCCAGCGATCCCTCCCTTCTTATATTCATGCTCTTGTGTAATCCCCTCCACTTGAGTGTGGCTGAACCTATTGACTTGTTTCCAGTGAGTACAAGATGGCAGTCATATGGGATGCCACTTCTGAGATTCAGTTACAAAAAGACTGGCATCCATCTCGTTTGCTCTCTCTCACTCTCGTGGAGTCTTCATTCTTGGGAAAGCCAGCTGCCATGTTGTGAGCTGCCTTATGGAGAAGCCCACGCAGCAGGAATTGAGGAAGGCCTCCAGTCAACAGACAATGAGAAACTGAGGCCCTCAGTCCAACAACCCTCATATGAGGATCTGAATACCAATAGCCACATGAGGGAGCTTGGAAGTGGATCTTCCCCCAATTGAGCCTTGAACTGACTGCCGCCCTGCTGATACCATGATTGCATCCTGTGAGAAACCCTGAGCCAGAGGACCCAGCTGAGCTGTGCCCAGATTCCTGGCCCACAGAAACTATGCAATGATAAAAGTTTGTTGTTTTAAGCTGCTTAGTTTTGAGGTTAGTTACATAGTTATAACGCAGTTATGTTTAATTTACCGTTTGTTAAAAGTAATAATAGAATTGATTTTTTTCTTCCCCTTACAGTACCATTATATTAGCACTGGTCCAGAGTATAACCATGTTCTTTTCAATTTTGGAGGTCAGAGTCCACTGATTTTATATTTATACAGTGTCATGGTTTGAAGTATGTCCCCCCAAAAATGTGTGTATCAATTTGGCTGGGCCATGATTCCCAGAATTGTGTGGTTGGCATCCATTTTGTGGTTGTAATTTTATGTTAAAGAGGATTAGAGTAGGATTGTAACACCACCTTTACCCAGGTCACATCCAATGTTAAGGGAGTTTCCCTGGGGTGTGGCCTGCACCACCTTTTATCTCTCAAGAGATGAAAGGGAAGCAAGCAGAGAATTGGGGGACCTCATACCATCAAGAAAGCAGTGCCAGGAGCAGAGCGCGTCCTTTGGACTGGGGTCCCTGCACCGAGAAGCTCCTAGTCTGGGGGAACACCGAAGAGAAGAAGGCCGACAGAGAGAAAAAGCCTTTCCCTGGAGCTGACACCCTGAATTTCGACTTTTAGCCTACTTTGACTATGAGGAAATAAACTTCTCTTCATTAAAACCATCCACTTGTGGTATTTCTGTTATGGCAGCACTAGATAACTAAGACATATAGTAATAGATAATTAATACAATATTTGAACAACATTCTGAGTTAGACGATGCTCTTCAATATTTCTATAGCTCCCATATATCTCAATCCAAATACTTACTACACTATAGTGTAACCATTTGTTCACTTGTTTTTCTCATCCAATAGGGAAAAAAGAATTATTTGCCTCCGTATTCCTGACACCTAAAAAATAGTATCTAGCATACAATAGTGTTAAATAAATGTCTGATGGGTGAATATAGCATGGTTTTATATAAAAAAACAGCTTCTGAGAAGCTGGACTATATGAAGAAGAATGTGTCATGAGGATTGGAGGAAGAATCATTAAGAAACTGTGATATGCAGATAACACAACTTTGCCTGCTGAAAGTGAATAGGACTTGAAGTGCTTACTGATGAAGATCAAAGACTTACAGCCTTCAGCATGGATTACACCTCAACATAAAGAAAACAAAAACCCTCATAACTGGCCCAATAAACAACATCATGTTAAACAGAAAAAATATTGATGTTGTCAAGGATTTCATTTTACTTGGATCCACAATGAACAACCATGGAAGCAGCAGTCAAGAAACCAAATGACACATTGCATTGGGCAAATCTACTGCAAAAGACCTCTTCAAAGTGTTGAGAAGCAAAGATGTCACTTTGAGGACTAAGGCGTTCCTGACCCAAGCCATGGTACTTTCAATCGCCTCATATGCATGCAAAAGCTGGAGAATGAATTAAGGAGAAATGAAGAAGAGCTGACACCTTTGAATGATGGTGTAGGTGAAGAATATTGAATATACCATGGACTGCCAGAAGAACAAACAAATCTGTCTTGGAATAAGTACAGCCAGAATGCTCCTTAGAAGCAAGGATGGCAAGACTGTCTCATGTACTTTGGACATGTTACCAGAAGGGACCAGTCCCTGGAGAAGGACATCATGTTGGCAAAGTAGAAGGTC